ACCTGTCCAGGCGTCCCCGTGATGGACTGGAGACCTGTCCAGGCGTCTCCGTGATGGACTGGAGACCTGTCCAGGCGTCCCCGTGATGGACTGGAGACCTGTCCAGGCGTCCCACCTCTCCCCAGTGATGGCAGTCAGAAGTGTAGTATTTCTATACAACATGTTGTTTTAGATCATTTAATATTTCTGTAAAACGTAACAGAATGACCTCTAAAGTCCTTCCATCCATTGTCTTTTACCCGCTTCGTCCATTTGGGACACGGGACTTCTCTAAAGTATTTCTCTTAATGTTTTCTACTGGAAGAGTCCGGTTGAGCATTCAGTTCAGAAACAGATGAGTCCGAGCGGTTCCTGCGGACGCTCCGGGGACATCCAGCTGAGTCTGACCGCTGTTTTCCCAAAGCCTCTGAGTTTATTTAAAGAAAAGGTTAAATTTGTGTCAAACTAACCTGCATGTTCTGGTAACTCTGAAGAACTTCAAGGTGTTTTAGTCCTGATCCGCTTGGCCCTGACCACATCCTGTCCGACTCTGAGCTGCTCGGCGCTTTAGACAAAATGAGATTCGAGCACAAACGCTCGCTCTACATCACACTCATAATAAAACTAAGCATGTTTTAACGGTGGCCCCATCAGAATCCTGTTTCAGAAACCGTGTCTTTATGAACTCTGGGTATTTTCAAACGTAAATAGTTGCACACAGCTGGAGGCAGCAGCGTGGAGTTGTTGGAAGGAAGCAGCGATCCACTTCGGTCCTGGCTGAGTCAGACCAGCTGTTGGTTCTATAATAAAACTGCTGGATCAGCTCTCAAACCTTGAATCAGATTCAGTGTGGAGGAAACGGTCCGGTCGGCCTGAAGTGGGCGGTGAGGACACTTCCACTGTGACGACACATCAGCTCATCTCGGTGATTTTAAAATAGTAAAACTTTCGGGAAGTTCCTGCTTCCCTTTTGTGTTCGCCTTCAAACAATCTGCGGGGAAATGTTTTTAAAAAAAGCTTTTTTAACGCTACATGACTTTCCACATTTGACCAGCTGATGTTAACGAGGTGACCTCCCTGTGTGGGCCAGCTTCTCCCAGCTGTAGCTGCAGGAGCTTCTGAGCGTGGTGGGGTCAGAACTTCCTGCAGCTTCCCCGAGACTCAGAAATGAACCTGCCAACCAGACAGGAGTGTGAGGGGTGGGACCAGAACCAAGTGGCCCTCTTCATGTGCAAGGTGAGTGAAGACCCGGGATTTCAAACATGTGGCAACAGCTGGATATCCTCCGAGTTTAAAGGTTCGGCTGTTTTAGCTGTAATAATCAGTTCAGCTGTAAAGGTTCGGCTGT